ACGGTGGGCTGAAAAAATCGTGATCTCTGATTCGTCACCCAAATGAAGTGTAAACTAAAGTAGTCTTGGTTCGCCATAGTGAACTGAGTATGGGTGGCGGACGATGCGAAGCAAAGTTGCCTGTCTGGCCTGGGTTTCCAGTGCTTGGCATATTGGGTCTCTTTGTTTCAGGTCGTCAAAAAATAGTTCGTCTGTGATAGATTTTACCTTTGACTCAGTTACCTTAGAGTATATTAGTTACACCGAGTTCGACGTCTGCCTAGTGCCCATAAATTTGGATAAGAGAGTGCTTCTTTTTCCTGGCCGTGTGATAGGCGGTCTTCTCAGAGGCATATGAGCATTCGTGTCAATTCGATCGCTCGTTAGGGTAGTGTCGGACATGAACGGTAACTTCGCTTCGGGTCTGCATCCAGCCTGACCATCATCCTCCGTATCCTTTGTTGCGTTGCACAGTGTGTAAACACGGGCCGATGGTCCGTGTGCACCACTGTTTTCTTGCCAAAAATGTAAGTTTTGAATCGATCCATGACAAACACCACTATCAACATTTCTTCTTCGATCTGTGCATGATTTTGATCAAAAATTGAAAGGCCCGTGCCGTGGTAATCTATTGGCTTTTCTTTTTGCAACAACATGGAACCAAGCCCATTTGGACTGCTGTCACAAAGAAGCACTAGTAGGAGGACTGAATCAGAGTACGCCAATATCAGAGCTTCCGTGGTATCTTTCAGACTTTGGACAAACACTGAATGTTGTTCCTCTCCTCATACCCATGGAACAAGTTTGTGAGTCAGTGAGGTGAATGGGTTGCATCTATCAGGAAGCTTCGAAAAGAATTGACTCGAACCAAGACCACTGAGTCTCGACATTATACTAAGCTAGGATTAACATTCATATTCGACTTGGTCCATAAACGTGCAATAGTCCCAAATATTACTATCCGGTTAAAACGAGTAGATGAGTACCAAGAACACACTCCTGGTGCTCAAAACGAGGACTAATGCACTATTGAAATTCTACTTAAACAGAGACACTGGAGTTTTGAACCACGTCCCTGATAAATAAGAGCCTTCGATTTGCAACCAGCGCTCGAAAAGCCAGCCTCTAGTTGCTAGACAGTACCATACGTAAGACCAATAATAAAAAAATAATGTGTCAGCTGTACGCCGTAACGGCGTTTCGTTGCCGTGCGACCACTACCAGTCGCACGCGGGCTGAGTATACCGCGAGGACGCCCACCTCTATGCGGATTCGAACGCGCGCCACAAGATCACGAGACAAGCTCGTTACATCTAGGCTACGGGCCGACAGTAAGACCAATGGTCAATCCTGATAAAAAAAAGCCGAAGCTTAACATGTCCCGCATGATGGTGGGTGATGGTTTTAAAAAGGAATCATCATCAACATTACACATCAGTTGGAGTTAAGAAACACACTTCGACTATGGTGCCGCAATTCAAGAGGATAAGGTATACAAATAAGCGAGACACATTATAAAATGCAAAGAAAAACAAAAGGTAATGTGCTGCTAAGAATGAGATCGTGGTTGGAAGGGGAAAATACAAGGGATGGGAAGGGATAAAGAGACACACAACACAAAAACCATTGGGACCGGCTCTTCGTCATATCAATCAGTATATACACCTAAACGTGTTCATCATCTTTAGAACCCCAACACGGCAGTTATGAGACACCAACTGAGGCCAAGTTCAAAGCGAGGGCCTTCATTCTTCTTGACCAAGTCATCGCTTAGCTGCCCCTCCTCCTCTTCCAACCGCACCCCTGGCGCGCAAACAATGCATGTCGCGGGAGTCGGTGTGCTGGCATGCGCAACACGTGGCCCAGCCATCGGAGCCTGGTGCGGGATATAATGGTGCTGAGCGGTTCCCTCGCTTTTCCTGCATCAAATATACGACGCCGAATACGTTCATTGCTCAAGTGGTGCTCCCATCGGTCATGAGCTAAATCGCGAAGGCAGCGATGATCAAATGTGACGAGCCACTTTATGTCTGCCGACTTCGTCGGCCAGGTTTCGTGACCGTACAGTAGGGTTGAACGGACAGCTGCATTGTAAAGTCTGTCCTTCAGGGCGAGAACGACGTTGCGTATGCGCCACAGGTGGCGCAGATTGGCAAAAGCGCCTCAAAAATTTGTTACAGGGTTTACGATTTCAGCCTCTATTCCATTAGCGCTGATATAGTCGCCTAGATACTTGAATTTCTCGACGACTTCCAGTTGAGCACCGCCAAGGGTCAGCACAGGGGTGGGTCCATGCCAATCTTGGAGAAGGACTTTGCGTTTCGACAGTGCAATGCATATCCCGAAATGACTAACAGCCAATGCTATAAATAGCAAAACAACCAAAAACAGTGAACTTGTCGAGTGAAGTGTTGTCCGTCTGAATCTTTCACATATGGTTTTATACAACTTGTAATGTCCTTAACTATGGTCTTCCAAAGAACTGACGTCAGTCGATGCGGTTTGGTATGATGAATGTGCGCGATATGATGGATTTATTGCGGCTAGCGCACTGTCAACGCGCTTTAAACATGGCTAATGTAGGGGCTGAAATAACAGGTTTTGGAAGTGAATTCCATGGGTCGCAAACAAGTAAGCAGAAAAAATCCGGTCTACCCTCCAGCCGGCAGTATTGTTTCTTCAGTTTGAGACGGTGGCCTCTAGGCCGCTATTGTGTCTGAGCTATAGCAGATGATAGCACGAGAGATTAGTGTTGATTAAAATCTGGTAAATCATGATAAGTTCACCACGCAAAACGCCGATTGTATCCACTGAAAATTCTCAGAATAGTTGATATAGCCCCACGACGTTTTTGGTGGCCTGAAGTTGTAGGATCTTCAAGACAGTGAGATCCCGCTTCTGTCATGGCTTTCATGCTTGAATCGCATATTCCACGTGAGAGCGCATGTATGCAAAAAGCAGTCTGGGAAAAATAGACGAGTTGTAGTGACCAAAAGCTCCCATTAAGAGCTGTAATTGTTGGATGCCATTTATGATTCTAGTTCGCAGTGCTTCGAGCAACCAAGGTCTTCCCAGATTAGCACACCGAGACCATGTTCACGAGAACAGTGCTGGAGATGCTGGTCACAGCTCGCAGATGTGAACTACTTGGTGTCGTAGACGAAGCACCCAACATTTAATGACGTTATAATGAAGAGAATATTAGACTGACAACTCATAAATCATTTCGAGGTCGTCTTGAAACTGTATACGGTCGTCTGGCACTTTGATCGACCGCCAAACTTTGGTGTCGTCGTTGTAAAGCAAGCACGGTGTGAAGTAATTAAGCTAACTAGATCGTTAATCGAAATCAAGAGCTCCAATACTGAACCTTGTGACACATTGCATTTTACTTGGATAAGATTTGATGCAGATTCGCACACTTTTACATCCGGACGCCTGTGCCAAAGAAAGTTGCTGATCCACACTATAAAAGGATCACCAATGCAATGGCTCAGCCGGTCGAATGCCTTAGAGACGTGGAGATAGACAACTGGAACTCCCATGCAAACATCCACCATTTCGGTCCGAGTGTCCCGTGCTATCAGTGGATTGATAGTGCACGATCGGTTTCGGCGAAAGCCATATTGCTCTTGCGTGATGTAGCTGACTTTGTCCAGGTAAGACATAAGCGTGTTAACAATGAGCCTCCACGACTTCGAAAGATCTGGAAGAAGTCACTGTACGGTAGTTAGCTGAGTCGGAATGACTGCCTTCTTAGTAAATAAGAGTTATTATTCATTATTGGAAGAATCCCGACAAGGGTTCAGCCAATTCCTTAGCATCTGCGAGCGAATAAAATCAATTCCAGAAGACCAGTGTGGGCGCACAGATAAGTTTTCGCATCACAAGGACTGACGGAAAGCGGATGTGAGAAAACCTGTATAGTGTCACAACACATTTCAAGGGGTCAGAATGTCACAAAACACAATGAAAGATTAGCGTGTATTGTTACCGCAAAGCATGCGCTGCAATATAATTGCTTTAAAAATACTATTTGAGGAGTGGGCAGAGACATAAGTGCGCTGGTTACAAGTGTTCACAAAATATCTCCTACATGATGCCTTTGGTAAGTCAGGCATTGCCATAGAAGTGTATTAAAAGGAAGAAGGAGAGTTAAACAAAATATCTTCACTTTTCATCATCCGACTTGGAAAATCATACAGGCGCAAAACTAAGTGCGGGCTGTAAAGGAGTTACAAAATGAGATTGATCTAACCACTCGTCATATTCTGCTTATGCAGATGTAAGGAACAAATTCACAATGAGGATCCAAGAGCAAAATGGTGAAGTGCCACCGACTTGAAGACAATCATGGCACAGAGCACTCCGTAAGAATATATCAGTGCTATAAAAAGATGAACGTCCTATTAGAGAAGGATAAAGAGGAAGCGGGTAAAATTAAAAGCTCAAAACCACCAAACAAGCATTCAGAATCAAGTCGACTACAGCTTTCCGACAACGCGCAGTCACGAACAACAGGGGTTCGCGCAAAAGCCGGTCGGAATTGACTAGCCAGTTACCTTGCTGATTTCGGTGCTTCACGTTCCAATGAACCCCGCTCCACAGTTAACATCACGCACAGTTGTAAAGGTGTTCCCACCGGAAGACGACGACAAATCCGTTATTGGTGCGTATCGTAAGCAATAACCTGGAATACACGTGTGACAGTGTACCAGAAATGTGGTCAACCCACTGACAATTCTGTCGAACACACACCTACATTCCTCTCATGCTAGGCCCCCCGTTCTACAGCACGACGAAGGGCGAGTTTACCATCGGAAACCAATTCATCCTCCTCAGGATGAACCAAACTAAGTGCTACAATGCACTTGGATTTATGAAAATGAGACGTTGGATAGGGATTCGCATGATAGGAGAGTATAGAGATACGCCTAAGTTGAAGAGAAGATATGATGTTGGCGGCAACATCTTGGAGAAAGAAACGTGCGAGAGGACAATGAAACAAAAGAAAAACTGACCGTAGAACGGGTGCAACAGGGCCGAAAATTTCGTTGCGCACACAGGACATGTCACGAGTGCACTCGATCAAGACGGTTGCGGGATAGAAGTGACCGTTTTGGTGCTGGTCCGAAGTCGGAACCGATCCACCAGTCAACACTTTAGCGCCTGATGTCTTGGCCTCTTCTACGAAGCGATGCACCTTAGGATATAGTGAAGAAGGGAACAGAAGCTATCATGAATAAAGCATGCAAAGAGAAATTCTATGATGCTAGCGATATGTATATCGTACCAGCTGGGAGAACGTCCACTGTTCAGTAGGATAGTATCCTAGAACTCGCCGTTCAGCATGCGACCGTGACTACCCAACCGAATCGCTGTGGTCAGAGGTACATTCTCTGAAATGCTGTTATTCGAAAATGGAGCGACACAGTAAGTTCCGAATGCAAACACGCCCACATACTAGCACCGAAAACATAGTGTATTGTTTTTCGAAGTTGGAGTGGGAATTCGGAAATTCAATGAGCAAGTAATTCAGTTGGCATATTCATCGAATAAGGAAATTAGGCCGCCGCAGTTGTACAAATCATCGCATTGGCGCGAATGAGTGACGTATTGATGCACAAATATGCAATATATTTAAAACGCTCGTTATCGTGGGTCAGTAGTGTCTAGTTTCCCAGAAGTTGCACGTGGCACTATCCACCAATGGTACAATAGAAAACTGTAACTGAGGGCACCGTTAAAGGCGGTTGTATGAAAACCGCTCCATACACTGCTTCATTTTAAAGACGCTATGGTGCAGATGCGTCGTACGAAACTATGAAGATCCACCGAGCTCACTTAGACCTGATACAACAGCTCTCCTCTGGCTAATTGGATACCTGTTAATCTTCGGTGCGTATGCATATAGATATGGAAAAAGATGATGGAGAATAGGGAAATATTTTTGCGAAGTACATTTATTACATACAGAGGCTGTATACCTGTGATACGGGTATAATTTCTCTTGAAGGACTGAACAGTGGTCAGCAGGGCGAAGGGGTCTTTCATCCATCCCCCTCTATTGATCTTTTTCAGGTGAAAGGCTTCTGTCAAGTAACCGAAACAGAAGATACCGACTGAACGTAGGATCACACACCTAGTGTTTGATTGAGGAAGTACAGTGAACTGTATGTCTCTAAGCGATCGAAAACGGTGCAGTCGCTTTAGTAACACCTAGTATCGAGAAAAAGTTGGTTAAGGTGAAACACTAACTAGTGGGCACAGTTTCGTTCACTGTCCATGAGTAGTAAGGTTAGCCGGTTCGAATTGTCGGACACGGTGTATGAAAGATGTATACATAGGATGGTACGCCAGTCCGGTAAACATAAGTAGTGTGTACTCCCTGCTGGGCGTTGGGCTAGGTGGCTGAGTAGTTTGTGAGCTCCGGCATTGAAAAGACCAAAGAACACACTGAATTAAATGAAGACAAATAGCCTGATCGACTGTTTCGAGGATCGTTGCCATCCAACTAGTATATAATCTCCGGTACTAGCGATGCGTGAGTACTGATGCATGCAAGAGCTACAGAATGAAACTAACCTTCTGTACGGCCGCTGCGTTGATTAGTGGTCCCAGCTGTGTGTTTGGAAGTCTTCCGTCACCCATGGTAAGCTGGCTCACTGACGCAACCAACATTTGAACAAACTTGTCATATATGCTATCTTCAACGAGGAAGCGATTAGCAGATACGCAGGTCTGAAGAGAACGCATAGTGGGAACGGTATTGCATGGAAATGGGGAAGGGGTGAAGCAGAGACGAAGAGTCCTACCTCAACCTCGTACAAAGGAGACACCGTTTGAAAGGTTCAAAATAAAAAGAGGCACATCAAAAGGGTGCATTACAAATGATGCTACTCTAGAAATAGTACACTTTCATCGTTGCTCAGACTTTGTTTCGACTCTCGAAAGGTGTTATAAACGTCTGTCATTATAACTCTCCTAGTCGAAACGGACGATACGCTTCTTACTGGTAGTACCCCAAGCACAGAGTGACCAATGGAATTTAGACCGGTAAGGTCTAGATGACATAACCGCCAGACCTATACACGTTAAACGAAATGAGAAACCCCTACACTGAGGCCCAGTAAAGAAAAATTGGCCAAAGACAAATATACCTTCTCCGTATGCATTTAGGTAGCTTAATAGCATCGTAGTGTAGGGCCCAAACGTTGGACAAAATCGAATGTTAGTACGGCACATGGGTTGCTACGTAGTGACAGTGTTTTGAAGAGAGGCCAGTTGACGTCAATGATATGGTATATAAGGCTGTATCGTTGGGGCGAACTTAGGTGCTGATACATATCAGCGGTGTCCATGAGGAAAACTCATCTGTGATCTGCGCAGGTTGGGTGGCCGCATGGTGACAATGTTGGTGACTCTGCTAAGGTGGTAGGTGCATGTGAGCTCGGCGCAAGTTCGACGGAAATATGCGAGTTCCGTAACAGAGGGCTAGTCGAAAGCTTCAAGTTACCAAAAAGCGAGGGGCTACGCGAACCCAAAGTTGAAAGAAAAACGGGGATGTGGTTACTAGGCCAACGCCGAGAGATGGTAGCTACAGAATTCCATTATAGATCAAACAGACCAACAGTTCGGCGCAATGTATGAGGGGCATTGATGCAATGACTGGGTTGTACGATAAAAGGGTGGGCAATTGAGTGATATTCCGTGATCAGGCATAATGAAAGTGGTAGATTACCGGCATCACTTTCACTAGGGTATAAGTGACTGTGCTGTCAATCCCGTTGGAGAGGGCAGCGGGGTGTTCTTCTGTCCACTACGATTGGACGAATTAGGACAAAGCGGGGAAACGTTTGCTGGGATTAAGCGCATCGCGAGGAGTATGGCATCTACTTTCAGAAACTTGAAAGATATAGAATTAGTGTTTTTATTTAAGCAACACGTTTACCGAGGCGGAAGAGGTCAGTCCGATTCTTCGCACAAAAGCTGATACTCATCAGATCGAAGGCGTCGAGGTGGTCAAAAACTGTCTGATGTCACCATGCCTTCTCATAAGAGTGAGGAAATTTTAGATAATAATGGCTATAGCTGCAATGCCTGAAGACACTTTCCGTAGTTTAAATCAGAGGCCACCCAATGTCTAACGTTCTCCAAGCAAGCCGTTAACCATGAGAGAAGATTTGATGAGAGTCAACGGTTGTGCATTTTATTTGGATTCCCGAAAGCGGAATACCAAACAAGAGTCTTCTGCTTGTATACAGCAAGAGATCGAAAACACCCGCTGAAAATTTGCAATATGGAACGTACAGATGAGAAGTCAGAATAATCCGCGTAGAGTCTGGACTTACTTGACCGGAACAGCGGAATTTTGAGACAATTGCACCAGAAACTGCCTGATCCAAATCAGCCGACCGGAACACGATGAACGGAGCATTTCCCCCAAGTTCCAACAGCACACGTTTCCCATAAGTGGCAGCTTTGGTGTACAACATCTGTAGTGAATAGGGTCAAAATATTGTCGTCACGGTCATGTACTCAAGCGAACATTAAACTGTCAGGCTTGCCTAATTCTATCGCCACTATTATCAATCGCAATAGCGATACAACAGTGGAGTGTACATTTGTACCTGGTGTCATACAGTGTCAGCTCAAAGCAAACGACAGTCGCACGGATACTAAAACTAGGTGAAAACATGAATGGAAGAATCTGACGGGCAAGGCCAACTGAGAATTACGGACGGATAAGAAAAACAACGGCAATTAGACGGCTCAGTAAACCTGAGACCAGGCTGAGGCATGCGGTGGTGACTGCATGTTGTGGGAAGAGAAAAAGACGTTTGCCGAAGATAGGTAACCAATCATTTTACTAAAAACAAGGGCGTCTAACAGGTCGATTTTCTGCCTGAAACAATTGAATACGATTCAAACAAGGCAAAGCAAAATAGTCTACTAATGGTACCGTGATCAAACCTATGAATTAAATTTTAAACAGTGGCAAATGTTGATGATATCCAAGCGCTAATACTAAGTGGTCAATTTATTCGGAGGACTCCTAAGGAGACAGTGTAGTCAAGTTTTAAGTGGTATTAAACGCAACAGGGGTTGTTCGGGATATGGTGACTTGACAGGATACGACCCCACAAAAGCCGATCCAGTCTACTGTGACCTCCTAAGGCTCGCAGTCTGAGTTGGTATAGATATATAGAGAGAGATATGGGGCAAGCCCACAGTAAACTTCGTCGCTGTTCGCCGTGGATAGCGCTTTCACCAGGGCTGTCACATCTGAAGGATGTATACTACACCGTACGTCACATGCGCGAGTTGAGCATTTGTTGGAAAAGGAATGCGCTGTGGGAATAGGCAGGTGTGAACGCTTAGCTTGCTTCCTTAGGCCAAAAGCAGAAAAATACGATGGATGAAAAAAGTCGCCTTATCACCGATTTCGTGTCGAAGCCAACTCATTTATTCCAGGGCAGACAAGATGAGAAAAATCCAAATGAGATTGGAGGTGAGTATGGTCATTTTCAGAAAATTATCACAGAGTTCAAAAGCACTTAGCGGCAAAAAACAGAAATGGTTCAGACATTAGGTTGCATAGGTCTGTCAGCCGGTACATCCATCTGCTGTTGAGCGAAGGATAAAGCAAGTAACTGGAATTGGAACTAGCAATATTCAGAACATTAAAAGATGTTAAATCGCATTTGAAAGTTTTTATACAAAGGAAAAATGCATCTCTGATTCGAAAGGTTGAACAAGCTAACATGAAGGCATCACGATGACACTGGACCTTCATGTGATGCAACCATTCGCGCACGCCACCGGTGTGTCCTTGAGCTTTATTATTACTGTTTTTCCACTTCCCCTGATCAGCGTCCTCTCAGTCTCAGATTCCGCAGCAGATATTATTAGTTTGGTCAATCACACACATAAAACCATGAATCCTCAACTGAAGATCGCTGCAATGCTCCACAACCGTGAGGGCGACACTGCGAATTGCCATGAGGTAGCACCGTAAAGAAGCATTGCTAGAGCAAGATAAAAGCGGTGAAGTATGCACACTTTGCGTTTCCAGTGATACGAAAGCCACGCACAGAAAATAGCCTATTATAAATGATCCCGGTGAGTGGCTATATCTGGACGATTCGACTTAGAAACTCAGTACCGATTAATGAACTGTTAACGAACAAAAAGTGTTGCATACGCTATCACCAACCGAAACAGGAAGACCACTAAAATGAATGGATAAGCAATGCTCCCCTGGCCAGGAAAACAACGATATTGTGCACTCCATTGGCGATATGAATGTTCAAGCAGGTCGGCTATCAGAGTCGGGATATTGTCTTGACGGCAGCTCCAAGGTCTATGAATAGTGCACCGATAACAGCTACCGATTCTACAATGACGTGCTGAACAAAAGCTTCGCATCCGGAACACAATTTTGCATACAAGCGTCTGTAATCAGCTGCATTGCACCCACTGAATGGCGGTATGTTGTGGCTTCGGTAAACAATATCGTGAAACAACTTAATGCCTATGACGTATGGTCATCTCCTGAATCTATTCTCCACGAAACAGCAATAAGGATCCGAAATGCAATGCTAGTTAGTACAAACGATTGTGCTTGAGGAGAAAAAAGTTTGTTGGAGTAGCTTCCATCAAATGTCCGCCGGATGTGAGGCGATCGAAGAGTGAAGTCATTTCTAAGTTATCTAAATTCGTAATCGAGACCCGGACAATGGAACCAAAAGTGCGCGAAACACCCCAGAAGGATTCGCAGCAATGACCAAGACAACGCGGGTCTGTGCAGTGGGAACGATTGAATAATGCTTCAACCCATAGAACGGACGAGCCCATCAAACGCACAAGTGAACGAGCCGATATTTGAGATGGGTGAAGTGCGGAGCTGGTCCCAAAATGACCGAATTGCATATCGGTCTTAACAGTTCGAAGCGAGACTCATGAAGTTAGCTGCATCCACACTGATCGCTTGTCAGCATAAAAGAACACGGGACATTGACGTTAAAATTAGTGCCATATACGTGATTTGACACGCGCTTTAAATCGAAATGATGCGCTTGATCGCAATGGTCTTCTCGTCGGAAAAGTGAGGGTGATACAGGTGGCCGACGTGGGAATCATAAATTTGGTTCCTACTGGAACTGGGGGATGAGTATCACTGATGAGTCCAAATATGACAAACTGGTCGTTTAACATTTTACCGGATGTACAGTAGCCGTCTCAAAGGGAAATGACCGGGACGAACCACACACAAATATATCAAACTATTTCCTAACAGCAATTGATAAAGAAGTGTCGCCGTTGGTGTACCGTCGGTACGCACTGAGTACTGTATTGTGGAAGCAGATAGCAAATTAAATCCGTTTAACTCTGTCGGAATATAATCGGTAATGTCAAAGTATCTGCCACCTGTTGTTACTCTAATCAAACTTCAGTTTCTTATGTAGTACAGTCGAACGTGCTTTAGTGCCCAGCATTCGGATATCTCAAAAGTGGGAAATTAATCGATGTTACCATTTTTCTCAAAAGGGAAACAACCATTGAATTACTGTACAGTATATCACTTGAATTGTAACGTGCTAAGAAAGATAAAATACGTAGTCTTAACTGAAGTCTACAAAAGACGTTTATTCAGAAGAGCATGATAGATAGACAGCTATAGAAACTGGCGCTACTGTATGTTTTTGATGAGAGGACAATCCAACGTCAGTTGGACAACATTTCGTGCAGATACCCCAGTCACTTTTGCCCTGATGAAGTCCAAGTAAGATAAGAAATCGTTGTCTTACCTATGCAAAAGTCCGTAGCTACACAGATCATTCACACAGTTATTTGCTCTTGAATGTGACACGCGGTGATTGCTGTTACCCATGGAGGCATCCGGCACGTCATCCTCTGAGTCGTTGCGTTCTTTCTGTTCTAGTCGGTTCACTAAAATTTTACTGACGATTTCGTCGTCAACAGTTGTCAGATCTGAGGTACATTCCACATAGTTGTCAATAGCGAAGAAGGCTTCTGCATTCACGACTGGGATTGTACAAGCGCTGATCTCGTTTCAGCGATGACGGTGTCATCAGAAAATGCATCGGATTCTAGTCGACCGAAGCCAGCATGCCGAAAGCACGCTTTTATTGTTGAATCGGTAACCTGTCTCCAACTTTTTGAAAGAAAGTTAATTGCATTGCGCACAGAATTCTTGGCGTTGACATCCACCGCCAATGATGAGTCAGATAACACGTTGATTTGGATGTGATAAGGAATTCGGTCCACAATTTCCTTTCTGGAACGGGTTCTCAGATTTAGAATCCCACTTTTGGTCCATAGGTTGAAGAATGCTGACTGTGTTTGCCTGCAAAGATCCCATTTGAATGTCTTTCAGTCCTTCTACCTGTGGATGCGCCGTGCAATTATCCAAAGGCAACATAACTTTTTCGGTCACATTGGTCTAGCTCCTTGTCCCATTCGAGGACCCACTCGGTGAAAAGTTCTTTCGACATCCACGCATTTTTGTTAGCTCTGTAAGTTACGGTGTAAGGTACGTTCATGCTATTAAAACATCGTGGTTTCATACTTCTAAAAACAACAGTATATTGCTTTTATCCGCGCCAGACATTCGCGCAGTACAGAAAAGTAATACCCACCATAGCTTTTTTGATCTGCTGCACTTGTCGGTAGAAAAACACTAAGAGCCCTCTGTAGTTACTCGGTAAAAAAGACCTGTTTCCTCTGCATTGTACACGTCGTCATCATAGAAAGCATTTAAAAGTTCAGGCAGTCAATCAATCAATTTGCACAGACTGCTCTGTCCGCGGAACGCTTTTCTCCATGTGCATGTTTATACACAAATTGAGTTCTATTCTTCCAACTTTGCTACCATGCTTCCGTGGCAGCAAATGTGTTTCCAAGTCCTTCCCCCAATTCTTTTGTTTTTTTCTTCAGAGGCGGGCCTGTAACTAATCGGTTGTACTCACAAACCGATATCATTCAGTCTTTCAATGCAGTTTCTTCATCATCCTTCCCACACCGTTTGCTTTTCTGAGAGCTTTCAGTGCCAGGCGACAAATTCTGCCCGAGTTCGTTCTCACTGGCAATCAACCTGGCTAGGGTAGGACGAGAAAGGTGCAAAGCACACCATATCTTAACCTGCGAGGTTACTGGTGGATATGTGTTAATTTGTCCAAAAACGTCCAACTATTCTGTCAAGCACAAATCTGTTCTGTTACTTGACATACTTATGTGTAACCAATAGAGTAGTGACAAATGTGGAGCGGAAAGTTTCCCCGACTTTGCTCAGTTCTCGAGTTTTGGATAGGGACGAGGGATTGCCCACAGCCGTCTGTACATTTAGATTGCTAGTGTATTGAATGACATTGGTAACCTTTTATGATCTGTAAGTAACGCCGCCGACATTTTTGTTGTTTTTGACTCGATCGGACTGGCTAACTTTGGGGCAGTCTTACTAAAGGAGTCAAAG